GGAGAGGCAAAAGGACAGCACTCTCTCTGCTGAAACCCCTGCAACTGACAACACTGCCACCACTGACAGCCTTCTCAGCTACAAGGTCAGCATCAGATGGTGCACCCCTGGGGCTGGGAGCCCCTCAGTTGATGGGGTCCCAGCCACAGGGGAGCACCTGGCCCCCATATTCAATTAATGGTGTGATAAGAAAAAGCTATAAAGTTATTATTACACATTTTTGTGGAATAATATTATAGTTTATTGCTGGTTTCATCACGCTATTAATTGGTTGAACGTGTAGCTGGGCCACAGCTTAAGGTAATCGCACCTTAAGTGTAACATGTAGAGAGGGCCTAAGATAACAGAATTATTTTACATGGATGTTTATGTTAGAAGAGTAATTTATAACCAACATTTAATAGAATGAGAGAAAAGAAGGAGGCACTGACAAAATGGAGTAATTAACAGGAGAACTATATATTTAGAGTTCGCTTACTTTTTCTGGTGTTCCAACCAGGCCAGTTCAGCCTTGGTCTTCTCTTTCAAAGCCTTTTCTCGAAGGCGGAGCAGTGAGGACTGATGAGCTGCTCGCATTTCCTCTTCTTTCATGTACTGTCGCACCATCTCCATAGTGAATTTAGAGAAACTATCCTGACCCCCTGAGAATGGCATACTTAGCTCCTGGAAAGGAGTGAGAAATTCATAAATTAATCCTCACAAAAAGTGCATAAGCAGCATACTGTCAGACACCATTATTTAATCAAACCTGAAATCCTTTTTATCACCACCTTCCTTGAAATTTCTCTTAAAATACCCTCTCTTAGGACTTTTTTCCTTTAAACTTAGTATTAGGTGAGACTTCTCAGACATCAACATATATCTTTAGCAGTAGAAAAAAACCCAATGTCTGACATTAAAGTACATAAAATTTCTTTCATGCGTTAATCTTATTTACACCCACTTGAAAACATTCCATTTTATTTAGGGTGGGGACTTTGAATTCTAATATTTTTAAGTGTTTTTGTTTTCCTTTTTTTCACCCTTTGTGGCAGACAAGGTAACAATGCAACAAAGAAGTAGACAAATGGCCAGCAAGAAGAACCATGTTAAACCCAGCTTAAATATTTCAAATGGCCGGGGGGGGGTCTTATTTCACCACTGAGTTGTATTTCATCTTTACCTTTTGCTAAAGGATTTTATGTTCTGTTTAACAAAGTAAAACAATTCTCTTAGCTAAATGAACATCTAGTCTACTATGCACAGTAGTACTACTATGCAAGTATATTGCATGAAGTTACAAGTATGTTGCTGGGAGAATTATAGAAAAGTAGAACTGGAATGGACAAAGAAGAAGAGCATGACCCTGATGATCTCTAAGACTTGTTAGCAACTGTATTGGTGGGATATAATTTACTCTAAATTAAAGGGTTTTATTTGTGGGATAATCATGATGGGGGAAGAGACACTGGCCTACTTCTAATTAATAGATAATGTCTGTAATATATACACGTTTGCTGAAATAATTAACCAATGAAGTAAAAATACTTATGTTCAAAGAATGACCTTTAGGTTGCATTCAAATATTCAAAAGTTCAGAAATGCCAGCTTAACAGTTGTCTCCACAACTTTAATTCTGTATCCATATCCCTCCCATACACATTACAACATGCAAATAAACATACACTTAAAAACACATATACTTAATAGGTACGCGAGGGGGAGAATTAAGGTTGCATTAGTAAAAACTACTTTTTCAGTTTCAAGTGCACAACTGGAATATGAATAATATGTATTATAGTGTTATTATATGTAATTACTGAGGTTTTTTTAAAGGGGAAAAAAACCAAAAAAATGAAATATACACAATTAATTACATGCAAGAGGGAAGGCTTCATTCTCTCTAGTCACTTTATATACAATATGATCTATGAAGTCCCCTACAATTAGCTATTAGGCCTGCGCGAAGCGGCTAGTGTTCACTTTGGTTCTGGGAGACTGTGATTCAAATCACTGTCCTGAATCAATTCGGCCGAATCTGATTCAGAGATTCGGCTGCTGCCAAATCAGTGGAATCACAAAGGCCCCATCCCCCGCCTGCTCTCCCAGCCCCAGCAATGGCTGCCCCAGCTCCCAGCACTTTGAGGAAAAAAAAGCCCCCCACTCACTGGCTGCTGCCCAGCAGGTGGGGGGGGCATCCCTGCTACCCCTCACCTGTTCCAAACTGCATAAGGGGTTCTGTCATGAGC